GAGCTCGAGCCGAGCTTGAACAATGGTAAAATTTAGCGAATCGAGCTTGAACACCCCACTACTCGGCTCGTTTGGCTCGAGTATCACCCCTTGTAGGAGGCATTGATTGACTTTTTTTTATCATGACATAAAAAATCAAATATCATGTTATCCTATATTACTACTTGCAGGTGGCACGTGCGATGCACGTTAGAGTGAGGGAAAGGAGTTAACCATAATTAATAGGAGTTAAAGGGGACACTTGTTAACCCGCAGGTGCGGTTGAACTCCCCCCGAGTTCAATCGCGATTGGTTGTGATTCTATTCTTTAAATAGATAGATGAGGAAGGGGTAGTTTGGGAATTAAAGTAAAGCATTAAATCAAAGTTTGGTTTTATATAAGGGTAGTTTGGGAATTTTGGAAAAATCAGGCTATGCCTGCCTCTCGCATTATAATAGTAAAGATAAAGATTTAGTTAATATATATTTAAAAATATTAAGTCATTTTAAATCTATTAACTTCAATTCCTTTAGATAAAGTTGATTCCCTCAACTATTTACTCACATTTTTTTCTTCCCTTATGTATTTTCAACTGCCGTAGAATTCACTATTTTTAATACATTCTATTTTTCCCACATTTCCATCTAACACATGTGCATCATGTGGGTCTCACTAGGGTCTCTCTTTTCACACACTCTCCCATTCCCTCTCTCATGTGCATTGCAAGTGCGATCCGCTAGTAATAATAATAATAATTGCTTTACTTTTTTGTGATATTGAAAAAATTATTTGATTTTTATCACTTTAAAAAAAATCTCAAGGTAGGTCTCTAGGGACCTTTAGTATGTCCTAAGACAATGTGGGCCTACTAGAAAAGTCCATGCAGCGATATTTAATTTATAGAATTTTTGCTTTTAAAATTGGATATGATAGTTTTGGTTGCATTTCTTAAAAAAATATTGATAGCATTAAAAATATCTTTTGGCAACAAAAATATATTTTGATTGTGGAAAAAAAAAAACATTCAAATTGTATTTACTCACCTTGAGGTATAATTGAGGGTTTTCTAAGAGGAGAAATTGAGGAAACTCTAGGGTTTTTAGAGAATAAGCTCAAGGAGAATAATGTTTCACCAAATCTTCATTCCAAGAGGTGAATAGACATCAACTTAGAAATCCATCATCCATATTCTTAAGTTAAATATTTATGATAAAAAAATTTCCCCTTAAATTAAGAAAAGATTGAAAAAAATATCATTACTTTCTTTATCATTTAAATATTATGGATAAAGTCATAAAGATGAATAATCTCTTATCAATGATGGTGAGATGTAGCTGTATTAGTTATTTTTTACAGGTATTTTTAGTGCAAAAATTACTCAAGTGACAAGTATTTGAAGCTTTGTTTTGGTTCAAAATATAAGTTTAGGCTGCAACGCCGGTTAGGTGTTAGTATTTGTTCAGTTAGTAGGCGGGTGGAGAGTATATACAAACTCCCACCCTCTAGGGAATGGAACCCGATACCTCCCCCCAAAGCAGGGGATACACTACCACCAGGTCCAAGCCCTAATGCGTACAAGTATTTGAAGCCTAAAGAAGCAGATTTTGGGATTCACTGTCAAATCGATTGAAAATTGATTGAACTGGTCGATCGAATTGGTTGAACTAGGAACTGGTCACCCAATTGGTTTGACGACTAGTCTAGTAATTAAAACATTAGGATAGGTCAACTTGTGAATATCTCTAAATCAATTATATTTTTTAATCAATAGTCCTCACTATCCCAAAAAAATTATTTTTATGGTCCTTCCATTTTAAAGCCCTACCATTTATTGAATGATATTTGAGTTCATCTTCAAATTAGTGTTATTTCAATTTATGGTGTGGCCAAAAAGTAGATGAAAAGAAGAGATGTTAGTTTTGGGATTGCTTATGTCTAAGCAAAGTACTGTAGACTGTTGGCATATAATCAAAATCCATCATCCCAATAAGCTACACTCATAAAGCTATATATTTTCCTAAACATGATTTCATGGAGGCAACCTTTCTCTACGGCATAGTAACAAAGTTTTTTGATTTTTTCAAAAAGTTTTGAATAGTATCTACTATTTTTTTTATTGAGCGATTAATTCGTGAAATATTCGTAGTTATTGACACAGATCAAGTCACGAATTAAACATAAATTATTCACAATATTTTGAAACTGTCATGAATAAATATTTAATATAGATTTGTTTACAATTAGTCATCTTATTTTATAATTGAGGTGTGCAAGTCTACTATAAGACATTCCCCACTCTTAGCCAAAAATCAACACATGTCCTTACTTTAACATGTGTTGATTTTTGGCTGATAATATGGAATGCTTGAGAGTAGGGCTAGCACACTTTTTTAGATTATTCTATATTTCAACGAATATTTTTTGCATGTACTTCTAAATTTTCGATTTTCCTTCTAAAATTTTTCCTAAACGAATAATAACTGAACTCCAACTTGGTAATTTAATCTTGAGGTCTTCTATGACAATTTGGGAGGGGTTGTGATATTAACATTTGGATCACTCCTTGGGTTCTAAGATGCATTTTTTCAGTACATCCTACTGACACCACTCTCCAATTAGTAACCTTATTGATAAGTTATGTAAGTTATTGAATTAGGGTGGTGATAGGCGCACCTCAGTATTTGTTAATTACACCTCATTAGCAAATGGAACGAACCTCATTGGCATAAATTAATTTTTCCTTTTTGTATTTTCAATTTTCAGCACCTTTTATAACTAGCCGCACCCCAACCCTTATCCTCAAAGTCTTTTCCATCTGCTTGAGTAACTTTAATATTAAACTGACATGTGAATGTCAACCTCTATTCCTCTCATAGATCATGCTCATGATTTTTCTCCATAGTTTGGTTGATGCAATGGAAGTTTTGTCAGCTCAACTCTATTATCATTGCAAATTTTAGTTGTGCAGACAATAATTTATCTTACGCGGTGAAGCTGACAAAGTATGTCTTGTAAGTTGCAATCTATTTTATTTGCATATGAGAGTTATGAAGCACTCTTGAGTATGTAACACATTATTTGTGTTATTGATATTTAATTTTGCACAAATTCACTAATTCCTTGCAATAAAAAAAAAAAAAAAAGACATGTCCCATTTAATTTTGCATGGGAGTATGCGTTTTTCTCATTTGTGAGAATACTTCATTTTGCTATTTTTCATCTTTGGAAGATTACACCATTTGAAGTTAAAAGATATAATCATTCATATTACTTTGGTGTGTAGTTATAAAAGTAGAAATAATTTTTTTCTGGTCTGTACTAGTAATTTTATGAGTTTAATGGTGTGCAATCATCAAATAGTGGGGGTGCTAGAGCATCCTTGAATTGTCTATGTTTTACAAATCTTATTTACAAATTTTGAGTTACAAGAAATACTATTTATTCATCCGAGCACAAGATGTTTCCTTTTAAAAAAAAGGAGATTTGAATTTTGATAGAATATTTATATAATTTTTGAAGTCAGGATACTAATCTCTGCATTGGCAAAACAATGGAGATATTGACATCAACGCTTCTCAACATAATCGCTTATGATTGTAATAATCCGAATCAAATGGGCCCTAAGTTTTATTCTGCAGTTACATCCCCTTAGATGTCTATCTAGAATCTTCCGATTCAAAAGGAAATTGTAGATCTTTTTGAGGAAGTATGGTAATAATTCTCTTTCAGTTCGAGAGAATTTGATTCAGTATCATATAATTCCCCTAGGTTTTTGCCTGTTTTGTGGCGATCCCAACGAAACAATGGAGCATGTGTTATCATTTTCTAGCTTCCTTGTGCTCTTATGATGGGGATCCTTTTTTTTTTTTTTTTAGGTAACAAAGGGTATTCCAAACCCTTTGTGGCAAGAATTAGTCATTTTTCAGGTATCCGCACCAACCCATTAAAAAATTTCCTTCCAAATGCTAAGGTAAGCCAAGGGGTGAGAGTTGAACACATGAACACAGGGAGCAAACCCGATGTGAACACCTCATTTTTATACCCCTAAAACCTGTTCTATGGACCCGACCCCAACAATCATAACATGAGGGTAAGGAAATGCGGTAAATTTCCGTGCTCACACCCAAACGCTGGCCAATTGCACCAACCCTGGTGGAGTAGTCCCTTCAATTTATCTCAATGCTTATACAAATTATCTACCACAGTCTGGCAGATTTGAAAAGCACAAAATAACATGATTTTATCATCTTCTCAACCTTTAACGGTCCTTGAAGCACAATCTTAGAGCATTCCTAGTAGCCTCACGAAATTTTACCCACCAAAATGGCCAAAACTCACATTTTCTTATTTTGGCTATTCACTTTTTTAAAACACTCTCAATAGCCTCACCAAAATAACCAAAACTCACATTATTTTATTATTTGTGTGAGACCACAATAGTACGAATAGAGAGAGAAACCTTTATTGTATTATTTGTATGAGACCACAATAAAGGAATGGAGAGAAATACATTCCTATCCGCCTCATCAAATTTTACTCACCAAAATAGCCAAAACTCACATTTTCTTATTTTAGCTATCCATTTTTTTTAAAACACTCCCAATAGTATTATCAAAATAGCCAAAACTCACGTTATTTTATTATTTGTGTGAGACCACAATAATACGAATGAAAAGAGAAATCTTTATTTTATTATTTGTGTGAGACTATAATAAAGGGAATGAGAGAAATATTTAGTTTTGGTGAGTATATGGTACTCACCCAAACTTGATGAATACTGCACACTCACCATATCGAAATGATTATTTTAAAGAGGCTGGTAGAAACCCTCTAAAAGCATTCTTTTCTTTTTTAGTACAGTGGCTTACCAATATAACTTTTTAGTTATTTCAGTGAGAATGCTAGGAATCAAATCCATGCGTCTTCCTACTGAGATTCATGCAAACTGTCTGGCTCACTATGGATTGCTCTACTCGTTCTTTGGCCGAGTTTTAAGGGTCATCTTTTCTTTTTTTAAATTCTCCTCAAGTAGGATCTGAACCTACGACCAGCCAATTAACAGCTGACAGCTCTACCATTGAGCTGTTAACTAAGAGTCGAGCCAGGCCGAAGAGGTTGGACTTTGGAGCCGTTTGCGATGGCGTATTTTAGCAAGAGCCCCATAGCAAATTTGAAAATTCAATTGACGGAGTCTTTGATGACTTCAGCAGGGAAGACGTGCTAGATTCACGGATTTCGCGGCTGTTTTGCCGCATCAGTTTTAGGTTTAGGGTTCCATCATCATGACTCATGAATCATGATCGAGTTGTTGTTGTTGTTTTGTTCTTGATGTGAGAACAGTTACCGACCATTTCCGTTGATTGAAAATAAATAAATAATTAAATAAAATATCCCTCACCTATTACGCTTTGTTCTTCTCAGAAATCTAAAGACGACGGAGTCTTTAATCATCTTCTTCTTCGATCGGACCCCATCTATTCCTACGGATGATCCAGGAAAAAGGAGGAGAGAGATCAGTTCCAGATCCACCAAAGCAGCGAAGTTCACGAAATCTAAGGAGAGATATTCAAGTTAGATAAGAAAAAGCGATCTGATTGAGCAGAAGACACGATTTTTCAACTCTTCGCCTGAATTTGCAGATCGCGAATAGAAGAAAAATCAAGTTTCTCCGTCGATCTGGTGGGCCGAGTGGAAAGAGAAAGCGAAAAGGTGAATTTTGGGTGAAACACGACTAATAAGAAAAAAGCAGAAGATCCGATCTTTTTTTTGTAGATCGAGAGAAAACCAAAAAGGCGAATTTTGGTAGAAGAGACAAACAAAATACGCATAGGAAAGTGATCTGAACTAAATGTACAGATCCGTCAAGCGTACAGAAGACTGTAGATCTATCAGAAACGAGGACCTTCTGAAGATTTAGAATCGAGAGTATTCAAAATCTGAACAGAGGAGAGATCGAATTTATAAGAGCCAAAGAGAAGTGAAAGGGAAAATCCATCGCTGAGGCTTGACGATGAGCGGAGACGAGCCAGCGAAGCTTGACGATGATCAACTTGCCGAGCTTCGAGAGATCTTCCGGTCATTTGATCGGAACAACGATGGCAGCCTAACTCAGCTCGAGCTTGGATCTCTCCTACGATCTCTCGGTTTAAAACCAAGCGCAGATCAGCTTGAAATCCTAATCCAGAAGGCTGATACGAATAGCAACGGTCTCGTTGAATTTTCAGAATTCGTAGCTCTTGTAGCACCAGAGCTCCTCCCAGCAAAATCTCCATACACTGAAGAACAGCTTCTGCAGCTCTTCCGGATGTTCGATCGCGATGGCAATGGATACATTACAGCTGCAGAATTGGCACACTCAATGGCAAAGCTTGGTCACGCACTCACTGCAAAGGAGCTTACAGGGATGATCAAGGAGGCTGATACTGATGGCGATGGCCGAATCAACTTCGAGGAATTCTCTCAGGCAATCACCTCGGCCGCCTTCGACAATTCATGGATTTGAAGATATGGGAATTCCCTGGTGTGTCTTCTTCTCTTAGTTTTCTCTTTTCTATGCCACTTTTACCTTTTGTTTTTCTTAGTGTATGATCTTGCCAATGCTCTGTTGAAATTGCCTGTAATTGAACATGGGTCGGTAAGATCGGTAATGGAGAAAGAACTGGATAGATAGAGATGGAGAGGTCTAGGTGAGGTTTTACAGATTGGAACTGAAAATGGATTCTATCTCTTACAATTCATTTTGATGGGGAAGATGGTGTTTGGTTCACAACACAAGGGGAAGAATGGAAATCCCTAGAAACAAATTCTGTAAAACATTTAAATCATTACTTATGAACTTTTGTGTTAGACATCGGGGAGATTAGTCTTACCCCATATGTATTTCCTAATATTTTGTTTATAGGGACTCCATTGGGTCTCAAGACATGCGGATGTAATTGGTTTTTTCATTTAATTTATCTGGTAGGGGTCTGCCTTTGCCTAACCCCGGCTTTCCATTGCCATTTTCTTCTTTGGGGTATGAGCGACATGGAATTCGAAGAATCAAGGAGAACAGCATTACTTAGGATCAATCCTATTCTACTGACCAATATCTGTTATGCAGAGATCAATGCACCCACCCTACTGCACTTTCTTCCTGTTCGTGGTGATGAATCAAAGAATGGAGAATCTGCAAGAACAAAAACTCAGAATGGATAAATGAGAAAAAGAGTGGAAATCCCCAAGAACATGAACTTGAAACAACCCCATTAACTACATGATCTGCTTTCCAGAGACTGGCACACACAACACTGAATTCTAATTTTGAGTTGGTGAGAAGGGAAGAACGATGAATTCCCGAATACTGAAACTCATGGACACCCGCCTTAACTTCTATATAATGTATTCTCTAGGGAGAGGAATGACTGGCCGGATTTCTCAGTGAAAACATTCCATTAAAGCAACCATATGCCAAGTTTCCTTTCACTTACATATTTCATAGGCTATATTCATCAGATGCACTGGTCAAGACTGGTAATGAATTGGGCATCTCCTCTGCCATTTACGTTTTTTCCGAGTTCAAAGCTCCATGGCATTGCTAGGGTAAAATGATGAGAACTTTTGTTGATGACCCAGAATATTTGCCATTCCTTTTTTCTTTTTAACTCGACCTCTAATTTTCTATCATCTCACCCTGTAACTGCAGTTTAGGAATCATACAATTCTTTGGGGTTAAATGTTGATGGAACTAGGGTTTTAGAAAAATCTGAGAATCCAAAGACACTTGTTACATTTTTTTCGGTGCGGAAAATCCGGACTCTTCGGGAGTTAACTAGAATGGATCCATTTGTTCTTCAAAGCTAACATGCACCTCCAACTCACTGATGCATGCCCAGATGCATGATCCAAAAAGTCCAACCTAATAGGAAGGGCACAATCTAAGTATTTATCGCTGATTGTAACATTCACGTTGACATTGATAACCTTGTTATTTCTAGCACATGGGATTAAGGGCTTTTGTGATATCCTTTAGCCCCTAACTCAAGGTTTCATTGGCTTATCAACCAATAGGTGCCTATTGTAACTGTAAGTTTATAACATCATTTTAACACATCAATAATTCAATACCCACTTCATAATCGGGGAAGAAACCGGTGAGATAAAGTAAGACTACAACGTAAATCTCTTTTCTGTAACTGTATGAGGTTCTGTGGTTTCTCTCCCTTTGCATCATTTTCTCTCTGTTGAAAGATTTGCTAGCGCCACTCACTCCAAACGCATTCATAAATCATAATACAGTGCATTCATCCCATGAAGTCCGGTATAATGAGTGAAACTTAGCAATAATGATCTTTCTAGCCCATAAGAAAGAGGCCTAATGGGATGCTAGGTTGCTAACATATCAAGAAAAACATCATACCAGTGTTCTTAAATAATAAAAAGTAAATGTGAAGCTAATACATTATGAAAAGTGTCATACCACTGTTCTTAAATAATAAAAAGTAAAAGTGACGATTGTGAAAATTGATATTTTTTTCTTCTGTATTAGCATCTCAATGGTCTATATAAAAATCATGTTGCTAAGTTTTACTAATATAGGATGAGAGAAATCCTTAGACGAACAATCAATTTGATGGATCAAGTTAGGCTATTACCAAAAATCAACGTGGAATATTAAGGTTATTGAAGTAGAAATTTCCGGAGAAGCCACGCATCAGCAACTGCTACAAGCTTTGGTTTACTGGTAGAAGATTGAAGGTGGAGGGTTTGAACTCTGTCTTGCACTCCAATGCTAAAGTAAATATGTGTAGAAGATGATGAATAGTAAAACAAAATAACACTGAAGTACTGAGAGAGAAAGCTCTGAGATCAAGCTCTGGAAAGCACCGGAAAGTATGAAAGCTTATGTAATTTTCTCCAATTTACTTAAATGAATATATTCCGATCCTTATGCACTGGGTCTCAGAGGGTATCTATAGGTTTAGCTTTGTATGCCCATAGATGACCATGGATGACCATGTCACTTGCTTTACACTCATTACCAAATATGTCATACAGATCTTGAGTTTTACGTGTCACACACGTGAGCTTACTATTAGTTCAGTCGGTTTGTTTTGACAGCATGCAAAAGTGACTAGCATTAAATACCAAGACAGTACTTTTCACCTATTGTCAAAATAGAACAATTGCCTCCTTACCACTTCCTCCTACAAGTCGGTCTCGTTGTTGACTCAAACTTGGGTCCGTTGTGTATGCATCAAAAAAAGATTCAATACGCTTATCCTGAAGACAACAGATATGTTGCACATAAGACAACGAATACGTTGTCGAGAGTACAACGAGAATATTATACACAAGACAACGGACACATTGTGAAATAGACAACGGGTACGTTGTAGACCAGACAACGGATAATTCCTCTATTTTAATCACGTGATCCACGTGTCACCCATCGGTGATCATAACAACGAAAACTAGCTCGTTTTCCAATACTTAATCATTTTTACGAATTTTATCCCTTACAGTTATGTAGTTTCATTTGTATATTTTTTTTACAAGTATCATTTATCTAAGGTTAGTATGTATTTTTTTATTTTTTTTAAAGGGACCTGTCTTCTATCTAATGTTATCTAATGTTAGTAGGTTCAACAACCAGGGAAATCGGTGAATCTACTTTCGAAGAATATTTGCTATTAGCTTGCACCATACAAAGAAGTTGTGCGGCTACATCATCCAATTGGTGTAATTTAGTGTGAGGGACACATGCCCATAATAATCATTGGACCATGCTCGATATAAAAGCAATTAAATCAACCAAGTTGAAATTATCAAATTTGGTTCATTTTGGCATTAAGTTTACCTAATTGTACATGGATCAGTGGGCTCACGAGGATGCAAAAGGACAAGACCAAATGACAAAACCAATACTGCTTATGCCTCAATATTCCATATTTTCCTTCTAGAATATTCACGAAAGATGTGATATAGGAATCCAAATTGTAATATTTTTTTGAGGAGTGCCAGACCCGGTCCATATCTACTCCAAATCTTTCCACATATGCAAGAGTAAGTATAACGTGTGGATTTATTTAATATTAAAAAAATAAGAAATGT